GTTGAAATTAGATCGTGACTCCATATATAATAGGAAATATCTTATACCTTATATGAGGTCATCGTAGTCGTATGTGCAACTTTGACAATGCCAATACAGTCTCACACGGGTCTCAAACTCCTTTCCACACAAACATTCGTAAGACTTTTTGCATTCTTTCTTTTGCATTGACAAGTGCTTGGTTAGGTCAGCCTTCCTTTTGAATTCCCTCTCACATCGTTCGCACTTCATAATATATGTTAGCATATTTAATGGCATTCGTTGGTGGCTTCTTTATTTCATTGGGTATTCACGGTCTCAAATGGGTCGTGGATGGCGGGAAGATCCTGTAATCTCTTGGTGGAATAACCCCGGGCCACGTTGCTCTCAAAACCCGAATGAAACCGGGGCGTATGCTTTTAAGGCGGGTCATTTCGGGGTGGCGTGTGAGTTGGGACCCCCAACCCCTATACTACTAGAAGATTGTGCGATTTTTGTTTATAATACACTCGGCAAAATTGAGCATCTTAATTGGGACTGTAAAGAGTCCAATTTGGGATTTAATTGTGTTCCTCTTGTCCAATCAGAATCGAGTAATTTTGTAGAGTGTTTTATAACGAGAGAAATTGTACCGACTGAACGCAGGCTAATTTTAAACCACGAGTCCTTTCCTTGAGAATATTATATTTTGATCGCGATTTTACCGCATAGAGCTCGAAAAGTTTCACGGCAGCAATGTTGACGGTTAAACTAGAAATTTATTCTTTGACAAAACTTTTTAGATCTCTTTGATGCAAAAACATTGCATTGTTCCTGTCCTACAACATGGCTTCCATGAAACACATCTGTAAGTGCATTTAACATAGCTTTAAAAGTCGTGATGTATTTCCGGGAACAACAAGAAATCGCTAATTAAGCGGAAAATGTTCTCACTRACACAGTAACCACCTGAAACGATTCGTAGAATTTTGGACAACAAATCCTTTTATGGAGAAAAAGCAAGAAAAAATATATTACAACTTTTTTTTCTTTTTAGAACCGCGGAATTCGTTTTTCATAAGATTGACATGACATATAAAAACTTTATTAAGCATTGCTGATCAACAAAGTAATAATACTCAAGGGAATGACACGTGATCTGATCTTTATCACGTGGCGGATAAGTGTAACAACCCCAAATTGCACTCATAAAATATAGTATCGCGCACGCCATTTATCCGTGAAACAATTACTAGACATGTAGCGCTTAAAATCATTTAGTTATCAATTATTTAGCTGTAAAATAGCTAGTCTTGAAGAAATAGAAAACGCGCGCGCATGCTGGGTGCAGTTATAAAGCACGCGGGGGTTGGCAGAACACGAGAGAAGTGTTAGGAAACGTGTTGCGTAGTGCTTCTCGAAACTTCTCGAGTGTTCTGCCAATCCTCAAGTGCTTTATAACTCCACACAGCACAGCAAGCAAGTTTTTTATTTCTTTTATAAAATGCAAAGGGCGCGCGCGTGCTGTGTGCTCTCAAAGCACGCGCTCCCAACCAATCAGAATGCGAGAAATATAACAGCTATTTTATAAAAGGATTAATTTGGTGTGCACTCTGTAATGTTAAAGGAAATATTCAGTACAAATATAGAGAAATTAACCGAGATCACTGGAGACATGTAAGATAGAGATGAGAAAATTCTACATATCATTCAACTCATCTATAGAATTTTGTACTTCATTTCATTCACCAATTTCAAGCACTTCAATTGGTGCAAAGATAATCTAATAAACCAAATTACATATCAAACTTGATTGTTGTTTGCGAGGGATCAAGGGAGATTTAAAAATGAGCATCAATTGGAAAAGGCCATAATAGCATCAACAATAAAGAATAATGGTCGTTAATGGGCAGAGATGTAAAGCCTGATTTTCACAAGCGACGCAAGCACAAGCGCAATCGCAAGCGCAAGCACAAGAGGCCTTATTTCATCGTGAAAACTGTCCAGCGCAAGCACAAGCACAAGGATAAATTATTTCATTTTTCGTTGTGCTTGCGTTGGACAGTTTTCACGATGAAATAAGGCCTCTTATGTTTGCGCTTGTGATTGCGTCGCTCGTGAAAATCAGGCTTTCCAAGTCGTTAGGGCAAGTCTCACTGCACACAGCTAAGTGAACGTCATCCGTCGCCTTTTCTGATCAATGTTTTGATCATCAAAATTTTAATTTGGCATGCAAGTTTAATGTTATGAAGAAATAAMATTTTACATCGTTTTACATGCAAACAAGACGCCCTTTAGTTYACAGGCAGCCCAGTGATAGTATGCTAATGAGACAATCGCTTCGGCCGTGAAGACCTGCTAAATAAGCTCCAACACATTGGGCAACCCAGTGCATGCCCTTGTTTTATTTTTGATAGAAATTTCGTAAGAACAAACGAAAATGGCTATTTTAAAGGGCGATGGTCGGGACAGTCGGGACCTTTCTATTAAGTATTCGAAACTGTCCTTTCACTCACGCCTTTCAATGCTAAAGTCGGGACAGTCGGAGCAGCGCATTAGCAAAATGAGCAGTTTAGGAGCTAAATGAGCAGCTGTATTATAAGTAGCTCTACATGGTCATAAGGATTGTTTTTTGATTGGAACCAAAAAGTACTTTATCATCATCAAGATACATGTGGTTACAAACGAAGAATTTATGAGTCAAATGAGCAGATCAAGAGCAGCGCATGAGTCAAATGAGTCTAAGGCTTAATATAGAAATCATCGCACACCAGCTGTCAGAGAGGTCACTTACCTACAGTACAGTGCTCTTATTGTGGAAATATATTTTTTAAGAACTTATCAAACGCCATTTAGACAATCAAACTTGAAAAATGGCCGATTTTGAATACAGTCAACACAAAGAAAAAAGTGAAGACGAAATCAGCGATCAAAGTTCTGCGGAGGAAAGTGAGGAAACTGAATCGGAAGGTACTGATTCTGAAGAGGGTGATGATGACTTAAGAAAGCACGGCTGGTCGGTTAAAGTACAGGAAGCTATAGATCGCCATCAAGAAGAGTTAGAGGAAAACTAATGGAAAACTACATGAATAAAGGGGAAACAGAAGGAAGTGCTGCAGTGAAGGCACACAACAGCATGTTAAGGTGCTGACACACGGTGCAACATTTGAAATTTCCAGCAAATCAGCTTGCACCAAATTTATATCTGCTGACCAAATATCTTATTATAGCATGCTGACACAAACGATGTTGCGTAGTTTTGTTGCAATGTGTGTCACCACGATTCAAATTTGTTGCTTGCAATGTTGCGTGCAATGTTGCACCGTGTGTCAGCAACTTTAGAAAAGCTTTGATGGAGAAGTCAGAATGGTTGCAATACAATGGAAAAAGACCCATATTTCCAAAAGATTATGAAAACTAGAGAAGAACTTACAGACACAGACGACTATGGCTGGAATGAGGCAATACAAATTGCAATTCAACAGCGAAAACATCTGTTAAACGATTTATTTAGACCACTTAAAAATGATGAGGCAGATGATTAGGAAAAATTCACAATATCATCAACCTATAAGCGCCGCAGGCCAGGAAACTAGAGCATAAAATATACTTCGTTGTAATAAAACTTTATTAAATGTTGAAGTAAAGAAGTACATACATTATATTCATAGTTTTGTAGTTGTTTGGGTCTAGAATTTACGATATGCAGTCACTCAACCGAAGGACTAATAGGCTAAGTAAGAGTTGATTACCGAGAACGGAGGTAATAAGCCACATACATCCCGAGGGCCGCAGTCCCGAGGGATGTATAGTCTTATTGCCGACGTTCGAGGTAATTAAGTATTCTATTTATCAATTGAGAAGGTTTTCTATCAAATGTTGCTCATTATAAATGCGAAGTCTGTATATAGTTATTAACCAGGTTAGTAACTAGCTATATATTGACTTCGCATTTATAATGAGGGTAATAACAAAAATAAAGCCTTGTGCCAATAACAAAGAAAACCGTGTCAATTGACAAATAAGCAGTCACTCAACCGAAGTACATGTCATGTATTTAATCTCATTTGACCCATGCACTGCTCCTGATTTGCTCATTTGACTCTTGCGCTGCTCCGACTGTCCCAACTTTTAGCACTGAAAGGCGTTAGGGAAAGAACAGTTTCGAATAGCCAATCATAGGAATGTTCGACTGTCCCGACCATAGCACTGAAAGGCGTGAGTGAAAAGACATTTTCGAATAGCCAATCATAAGAATGTCCCGACTGTCCAGACTATAGCACTGAAAGGCGTGAACTTAYTTTATCAAGTTTTTTTAATTCAGTGAAAGTTTAAAAGATAAAATAACTTTTAAGAGAGGATGTCAGCAAAAATCGACCAAAATCAAATTTTGCCGGCAACAGCCAAAAAATCGAATTCGTTCATATTTTGG